GACAGGCAGCAGGAAGAATCCCCGACATAATGGGATTTCAAGGGCAAAGTGCACAAAGCTGTTATTGTTTCAGTTGCCTTCAGCACTGCACCTAGGAACACAAGTCAGGTTCAGGACAGCCAAGGCTACCTCTGCCTGATTATGTCACTAAGCAAGCTCCCATGATAGCAAAGAAAAGCAGGAAATAACATGTCCATACATCCAGCAGCATCTCAGCCCTTGGCATTAAGAGAAATGCAGTCAACAGTACTCCCTCACCTCTGGATGTAGGTCTTGCACCTCCTCCTCCCTTCGCTACCAAGTTAGAGGCTGCCCCTTTCTTGCACCTGATATAATGCCATTTTCCAAAATGCAGATATTTCATCTCCATCTCCCAAAAAACATCCCCACATGGTGAGAAAACACCAGCCTTGCTTCCCAACATGCTCCAGCAACACTGTCTACACTTACACACATTACTGTACATGAGAGTACTGTCAACCCCTGTATGGATAGGAGTAAGGGAGCACAGAGAGATGTGGAAGCATTGACCAGTTCCCCTCTTACCAGATTTCTAGCCAAAGGCACCAAAGAGATTGTGAAGGTCCAACTGGGGAGTGCAACCACGTCTGCAATTGGCCAACATCATCTCTCTTTTGGGCGTGGGAGGTGAGGAGCAGAGAGAAGGAAACTTCACCCTGCCCCTGGCCAACCCATCATTGTTGGATATCCACTGATGGATAAAAGCTGTCCTCTGTCATCAGAGGATGTATGTCCTGTAAGTGTAAACCCCCAAGGCATCAACTCCACCCCTCATGTGAGACATTTACTGGAATCAGAACCTTTCTCTGTGCTGGCACAGGGAGTTCTGAAACTGCAGGCAGTGGGAAAAGACAGCTGGTATGCTACAGCATGAGGAGGACACCTCTCCCAAGATTTGTCAGCCTCAGCGGCCAAAGCAGCTGCCAAGAGAGAAAGTGGTCTGTCTTCAGCACAGCACCTTTGCCCCAGCCCAAGTGGGTCACTTATGAGCAGAGCTCTGCCAACCTCTCCCTAATAAGAGCTGGTGCACCTTAGCACCACATGGACTGGTAGCGCTGAGCCATGCCACAGTGAAGTCCTGCCATAAGCCTTTACATACGTAGCCTTGAATTTGAAAACACATGATTAATCTTGACAGCAAATACTCATTTGACCAGCTTACAAAATAGCTGGTTCATAATACTCTAAGAGCAACAGTGTCCTATGTTGGGATCCAAGAAAAACAAAACAAAACACAAACAAAAAACCAAAACACAAATCAAGCTTTGGTCTCTTCAGGTACGCCTGCCTGACTGCTTCAGAAGGGCACTGGGTAATGAGGACAGCTGCCTCCCAAATCACAAAATTCAGCTTTCAGTAACAAAATATCAAAGGTGATACAAGCACAGGGGAGGCAGCAAAGGCTCAATGCCTACAGGGTTATCCACCGGTGACTGTGACAGCCTGCAGAGGACAGATAGGTCAGTCTGCTTCCGTACTGTGAAGAAGGCAAAAGGCTTTGAATTGCCATTCTCCTTCCTCCAAGAATCTGTTTGAATCAAATCACTGCTCTGGAACAAACTGAGCTAGCTCGTATGCAGTGTGAGGCAGGGGAGTAAAGACCCCATGAACAAATCAACACGAGTTTAACAACAGGTTAAACCTGCACAGGTAAAGGATTTTAACATGCACGAGTGTTAACCTCATTCTTTCCAACTGAGAAACCCATGGCATATACTCCATTCAAACAATTACACCGCGTTATTAACAAAACCACCCTCACAGTTAATACTGTATGTATATAAATAAAGGATTTTTAATTTTAAAAAAAAGATGGTGACTAAATAACCCACAACAAACCATCCCTTTCCCCCAAGCCAAAGCAGATTTTATTTGCCTTTCTTCATTTTTGCAGTCTTTTCTTTCCGCTTCTTCACATGCTTTGGAATTTTGGTTTTTCTCTTCTCTCTTTGGGCTTCTTTAACCATCTTTTTCCTTTCCTATAAAGGACGAAACACCATTCATTTAAAATCAGGAGGAGTAAGACATTTTGAGCAGGTCAATCAATTGTTACATTAACAAGTTTAATTAACACACCACATAAAAGTGAGGTTACCAAGAGGAAGAAATAAAAAGAAAAAAATCAATAGGAATGGTGAGGGAAAAGGAAAAAGGAAGTACAGATTGGGGGTGGAGCTAAGAGCTACATATGGGGAATGACAAGGCAAAATTCAAACTAGTTAAAACCTGCATTTCACACAACCTTTGAAGAAAGGGATCAAGAGGCACTCTTAACTGATGCTATTAACACCTAAGATTACAACAGGATGCCTAATCTAGGTTTTCTGCTACCCACAGGGCTGCTATAGTATGTGTTTCTACATGCCATGCAAAAATACTGATCTAGTAACTGCTGGTAACTCAGAGCAAACTGATCATCATCAGGATTGGCAAGAGTGTACTGCAGTAGCATAGCATACCCTATAATTTGTGCTAGACAGTGAAGAGACTACACTCAACTGGAAAATGCAAAGTCAGCATAATGGGGAGGGGAACGGAAGTAATTGCTGCTCATCAGTTGTTCAACCTACAGCTTAACACATGAGTTACCGAAAACCTCACCTTGCTCACACAAAAAGAAGTCCAATTGAAAACTATCCATAAGGATGAGAAGTGACCAACACATCCCCTCTTCACATCTGAAAGGCAGCAGCTCTAGACTGGTAGAAAGCATCTAGTAGAGCACTGCATTTTTATTTAACAGATATGGAATGTATTATCTTACCTTTTCTAGGAAGAAAAATCTAACAAGCAAGCCCCCAAATCTTGAACCCCTTAAGCCCACCAAGTTTCATCCTTCTTTTGCAAAGCACCTAAAAGGCTGCCAAGAGGCTCACCCATGAAGAGCCTTACCAAAGGAGAAGATACTTGTTCTGCAGTTTGAAAAACGAAACCTTAAAAACCTCCAAATCATTATCCCTTTGCATGACTGCATTACATCTCTTGCCCACAGAAAAGACAGCCAGTCTGTACTAATGGTACTGCAAAAGCCACTATAGCACAAAGATTGCCACCAAGTCTCCAGTTCTAGAGATCAAGTGGTCTCAGTTCCCTAGGCAAAAGGAGGTTAATCAGGGACCATGACCGCAAACCTGAACACCAAAGCCTGGAAGAGTAGCCAGAGGCACTGAAGAGCTGCCCAGGCTTCACCAAGTTCTGCTTTGCTTAGCCTTAGAATTCCCTCCAGAGATCTTCTAGCTTTACCTAGGCTAGAGAGCGCCATGTTACACATTCCTCTACATAAAACCACCATTAATAAAGCATCCATAACAACATTCACGTTCTCTGCTCTCATTCTCCACAACAGGAAACGTCCGTAGCTCGTTTCAGACAAGAAGTAGCAAGAACCACTCAGAACTGAAGTTGGATTTTTTTCCTGTCACATAAGCAGATGTGGGAAAAATAAACAATTCCTGGCCAGCTGACCTTTTTGTCCATGCTAACTTCAGCAGGTTTATCTTTGGGATGTATAGATTCTTTACAACCCGAATCAGAGTCCTCTGAGCTGCCGTCATCATCAGAGTCTGTTTCTGACTCATCTGCCTTCTTTTCAAGAAGTGCAGGAATCTGCAAGATATATCAAGGGAGAATTATATCAAAACAAAAAAAAAGAAGAAAGATGACAATATACACACATACACACACACACACACATATAAACCAAAGCAGAATCTGCTGCAAAGAAACCCTTGTACCATCTCCTTTACTACAGCCACCACTGAGTCTCAAGAAAAAGAATAAGAAGTTAATCCAAACCAAGAACAAGGACTGTAGAACGTACAACACAGAAACTTTTAGGCCAGAGCTCACAGCACAGCTGTACTGGCATTCCCAAGCTAATTTCCGTAAGTTGAACAGCAATTTGCTAACATATGTGGAAGCCAATTTTTAATTATACTTGGATCATCCCCGAATCTACCTTGGGGGCACTGTATGTAGGCTTTATTGCAAACACAGATCTACACTGGAAAACTCGCTTATCCTTGAACAAGCCTGGAGACTGTGCCACAGCCTGATCCCATCCATATTTATATTTCCATGTTAAAAACAGAGTCTACACAACTGCTAGGTAACATTTACAAAGGAAGGAGGGAGGATCCGTAGAGGGCTTCCACCTTGAATTATATTGCTTCAGACTGATCTGTACCAAACTTCTTATCCAATGTGCTTTACAGAAGTGTCATTGTCAAGTACTTCATATATAGCAAGACATAATATGTTATGCCTTACACTGCAGGGTTGTTCTTTACACAATAATTACAGCAAAGCTACCCCGAACATATCAAAACGTGTAGTCATGCTACAATTTAAATTAATTACATTTTCCACAATTGGAGGATGTCTTCCCTCCTCTCCACCTTAACTTTAGATACCAAGGCCATAGCAAGGATTATCATTTCATTCTGAAGCAACTCAGGATCAGCCACAGTGCAGGGAAGCAATTCGTGTGGCGTGCAGACACACTGTCATGCCAGACCCATCCCAGACACAAACGGTCACTCTGCAGACAAGAACCTTCTTTCACGGTGTCAGCTGCAAGACAAGGCATTCTCTGTATTCCTTATAAGCGCTTTTCTGAAAATGACTAAAATGAAGGATTTCAAAAAGACCCTCTCACCTTCTGAACACCAGACAAATCCTTCTTCAGTCCTGTCACGGTCTGGTAGAGAATCTACACCCAAGGGAAGAGAGAAAGAAAACTATGTTATCAAAATAAGAGTCTTAAATCTTTGGTCCCAGAGACAGTTATCACCAGAAAAAAAGCCCAACCAGAAAAACAACCTAGGAAAAACCACAGTATTAGCATAAGTACTAACCAGACGATTTTAAAGTATGACACTAGATTCAGTACTCCACACCTTGGTAACAAGGCTTCTGGTTTTATTTGTTGCTATCAGTTTCCAGTAAGAAGAATTCATATTCCCTCTCTCTTTTTTTGCAGTGCCTCAGCATGTCTACTCACATTATCTTGCTGAACATTCAATGCCATATCCTCTTCTTTCAATTTCATCATTATATCCACATCTCTCTCGTAGTTTTTAACTTCAGTCAAAGTTCGAGGTATGTAAGCCTTCTTAAACACCTAGCAGAGTGAAAGGAAATGCAGACTTACTAATTTACAGACAGTTTCATGAAGTTCTTCCTTTCTAATTACGCATCCTTAAGAGAATAATCATGAAGGATTTCATGGCTCAGAGAAACTAAAAATTAACATGGCAGTCATCCACTACCATTTGAACTGCAGCACTTTTTTTTTTTGGCAGGAGCAGACTTAACATGCAACATATATATTGGTAGATCATGACTAATAAGACTGCTTCCTTAGCATGACTACCACCAGGCCACTTATAAACTTCTCCAATCCTTCCAACTTCCTCTTAACCTATTTGAGTCCTAAGGTTTTGCATTCTAAGGATTTTCTCTAACATTTTTATTGTGATGTTTACAATGCCTTCAGGAGGCAACTCCATTCAAATGCACTGTTAGAACTTAATGTCTTTATTTAATAATACCTGCTTCAACCTACAGTCCTACTCAAAAAAAGGTTCCTGCAGCAGTATAGTACAGTAAAACCCAACTGCAGTATCAACAACATACCTAAAATTTGTCACATTTGTCTTTCTGAAACAGTCCTCCAGCAAACTTAAGTCACTACCAGATCAGAGAGAAGTATTTTACTTCTCTTTTTCACGGTATCAGTTCAATACCGGTACAAATTCAAGTACACTTTATGATAATAACTGCTAGACTAAGTGCTGTGCAAAGCGCGGAGGCCCCCACCTCCACAGAGCTTGCCCTTAATCAGCTCTGCTCTTTTGTGAAGGAAGGGGCACAAACTATCTATGGTCACGTGAGAAGTCTAAGAGAAATAAACTGAACTTAGATGCTACTAAACCATCTCTCTTACAGGCCACTACCTTTATATAAGCAAAGGAATAATTGGTTTGCAAAAGATGGGCTTGCAAAAATACACTAACAACATCTGACCCTGTAGTTCAGAAGTTGCATGCTGAGGATATCCTAAGAAACAAAGCAAAACAACAACAACAACAACAACAACGACAACAACAACAAAAAAAAAAGATCTTTCCTTGGCCATGCCTGAGCCAGAAGCAGTTAGTAAAACCTGCAGAGCTCCAAGAGAAAAAGAAAAGTCTTTGGAGTCAATACTACTTGATTTATCAAAGATAAACACTACATGAACCAGTACAAATAGGTTCTCAAATTCTGCTCAGAGTTGGTTTTTTGGTTTTGGTTTTTTTTTTTTAAAACTCTTCTGGAGCAGACAGATAGAACTAAGATAGAAATTACTTCATCTTTACATCAAGCCATTCCAGAACGTTAGCAGTTCTCTAATGAACTTGAAATGGATTCACTTAATGTAAAAGCAAAGGAGAGAAACGGTACATGGAAGAACTGAATTAGACTGGGACTGGAGCCAAATAGGCAATTTGGTCAATGCACGTATCCAGATATCCTGGTTCTGTATCACTGGTCCAAAACCACTAGCATAATCAGATCCCTCCATTCAGGTTTTTTTTTTTTTTTAACTGAACCTGAACTGGGAGATACATCAACGGACCTAGCTACAAGAAAACGTATTGGTTTAGGAAATTGAGTATTTGCCTTCTAACACCATATCGTTGTCAGCTTTTACACACGGCATCCCTTAATACTTCACACCTCAACTCAAGACATCTCAGTATCACAATGTTTTGGTTTTTTATCAACTGTATATTTTTCCAAACAAAGCAGAACATTTTCCATTGTTTAGAAGAGACAAGGTTAATATTAATTTCATAGCAGGAACAAAATTCCTCACTTACTTCTTCATCCACTTTATCCTGACTGGATCTTTCCTCCTCTGTTCTTCTCGACGCTATTTCCATTGCCTAAAGAAACATAAAACAAAGTTATCACTCCTTAGAATCACATCACTTAATCCAACTAGCCATTCCCATCTGTGTTTCTCCCTGTACTCCATCCACGCTGTCACTCACAAATACTGCAGCTTTCCCTACGGCAATGCTTTGAGCGACACCTAGTGGCAACCAACATTTCTGCAAAGCACATTTTTAACTGCAGATCTGCTTTATTAGTAAGAGGGAAAACATGCTTGCTGCTCTTCCCAGACCAAATTATGGCAGGCCCAGCATGACTACAGGACATAATACCACAAGGAGAATACAGTGAGCAGTGCTCAGTGCTGGAACTTGGCTCTTCTCACACACGTTGAGCAAGCCAGGGGAACACAAGTAAGGGCAATCACGTAGCACGGCTCCGTCTCATTCAACCTCCAATATGACAGAAAGTACACAACACCTGGAAATCCCCATGCTGTATACTGGTATTTGGACCACACTCACATGGTCTTGACCAGGAATGACACATCAAATCTCCACTCTGAGCATGACATATGTGGCCCTCATTTCTCTTGAGCTAAGTTAAAAAGCTTTCCCCTCCGCCCCCTTTCTAAAGAAATATTTAACTGGGAGCAGAGGACTGGCAGCTAGAGATGAAATACATTGGTGCTAACAGCACTAAGTTTACCTCCTCCTAGAATCGATGTGTTCTGCCACCCCCTACATTTGGCTAGCAAGACCATGCACCTTGGAGTAACACTGCCTGAGTCATTCCCTTCCTCCCTCAGCCCACCCTGCTCAAATCTGCATTCTTAACCCTATTCTCTATATAAGCATAGTTATATTTTTGCAGAACTTCTCCTTGCCAAAAAGAAAGAACTAGTTTAAAGCATTAGTTTTAGTAGTACCCGAAACAGACATTTGAGTTTTCATGATTAGACTTTTTGAGAAAACATAGAATGAACATGTTGTCATGCCATGATGGTACAAATGGAAAAGACTGTATGCATTTTTGAAGTACTAGCATAACATAATGTCATGTACCAGCTTCCTTCAATAGGAGGATGCAGAATAAATGAGATGAAGGAACTTGAACTAGATCTGATCTTATTGGTCAAGCCTTCCTACATAAGCAACAAGACCATGAGGTCTTACCTTAGACAGATAGTCATCAATGTTATCGCTTGTGATAGAAGGATCAGTAATAAACTCAAACAACTCCCTCACAGTCATCACTGCAACATTGTACTTCTGGAAGAAGTCTACCAGGAAACAAGGGTAGAGACAAAAACTATAATTAAACATGTAATATGCAGCTGTGATGTTAAACTGACAGAGCAAGCCAATGGCCCTGCTGACTTGGAAACTTTAAATATAAAAGCTAAATCAATTTCAGCAGGAAGTAGGGGCTAAGAAGGAAACAATTTAAGACTGGTGTAATATTTGCAATGAAAAAAAAAAAAAAAAAAAAAAAAAAATGTATTTCAAAGAATAAGGAATGGAAACCTCAAACTTTTGCTGAAGAGAAATAGAAGTATCCACTGAAACACAGTACAGCCTAATTACGATCCATCTAAAATGGAAGATGCATTAATGTATTAGAATTTTCCTCAATACTACACTCAGAATTAGTTTCTTGAGTCAAGTATAACCAAATTTGGAGACTGCACTTGTGTTCTGAAAAACAGCAGTGAAAGACACTGAGGACTTCTGAGAACTTTAGTAGGAAATGCTTATTAAGAGGATCTCTCACCATGACAAATTAACCAAGAACAAAAAAAAAAAAAAAAAAAAATTAGTTGAGAGGCAGCTGTCTCTGCCCATGAACTGCAAGATTTCACAATCACCACAGCCAGGGCAGAGAGTAAAGCAAGGTGTTTCTCAGAGCCTCTGTAGAAGAACTACACAGAGCAAGTTGCAGAGACAGAAAACAAACAAAACACACCAAAACCACCACAACTCACCGAGGCACTAGAATATCTAAGGAGAGCAAGCCAAAAGACATGAAAGGGTGCAAGTATCTGAACCAGGAGTTATTAGAAATCCATGAGCAGAAAAGGAATAACGAAAAGCTGGGTATCAACACATACATAGCATCAAAACACATTCAGTTCTTTCTCCATAGACTTTCAAAAGTCTCTGTAAAATTAGAAAAAAGTCAATCTGAAAAGAAAGAGGGGGACAAAAGCAGCCTGCAGTAACAGATTGCATGTCCTCAGAGAAAAAACACACCCTACCAGGAGGTGTGTGTTTGTTACACAACATGCATACTCAACACACAAAGACCAAATCTTCAAGAGAAAAAAATACCATAAATATACCTTGCTTATCAAAGTACTATGACAAGCAATAACACCTCTAATGAATTACTCTATGCCTTTATCCTCTCAGCTGACCTGGACAAGTAAGTGCAGGGAACTTCATAACACATGGTAACTTCTTGCCAGCTGAGGAATTCCAGATGGGGATTCCACTTACAGAAGGAAACATATCAGTATGGCTGTACCGTCCGTTAAATAAGGGAAGTTAAGACTGGGGTGGGTGCTGCTGCAGACTGGGACTGATCTCTCATCAGTCTGGGACTGATCTCAGATCTACAATAAATCTGAGATTCAGCCAGGTGACTCATTGCAGCCAGACGATTTCTAGCAAAATAAGCTAGACTCTTCTCAACTCGGCACAGTACACTGCTTCCTGAGGAAGCCATGAGAACCTAGGAAAGGGAGCATTTTAACAGAAGTTTGACAGCTTCTACAGTCAGTTATACCTGAAAGAACACAGGTGAACACAATTCACCTTCCTAAATAAACCAGGTATCAGAACAGGAGTTGAAGTGCTGCCCACTCACCATTAACATTGGCACAATCTTTTCGCAGGAACTCCAGCGCATGCGGGTGGTCGTGCTCCACTGCCTGAGACACATCAATGATGTACGCATCCCCACCATGGTATCTGCAAACAAACAGAGCGCTGCACTAACTCCACCACTGTTACACAGGAAATTATCAAGGGGCAGGGAACAAAGTGTGCTTCAAACTTAAGAACCAGCAAACAATCTCTATGTATTTGTCTAGCACACACCTAGCATATTAGGGCCAGAGTCGCATTTGGGTCAATCCTTTCCCTCCTCTACACAAGCTACGTTATTAAACTTTAAAGAAATAGTCTTCTCATGAATGCAAAAAGCAGTGTTATGGGTAGGTGAGAGTGGGGGGGCTTTAAAACAGGGACTGTATTTCTCATTTGGTTTTTTAGATGAGGGGGTTTTTTTTGTTGTTGTTGTTTGTTTCTTTGTGAGGCATTTTTGTTTGGGTTTTTTTTGTGTTTTTTTTTCTTTGGCTGTTTTTGTTTAAACAGAGAAAGCTCAGATCTGGGTTAAAAGCTACATAATTAATGACATTACAAAACCCAGTCACAAAAAGGACCCCACCCTCCCTTAGAGACAGATTAGTACTCTCACACAGAGATTGCCAATGCATACATTTTAGATGTCACAAGTCAGAGCAAAGTTTAAAAACATACAGCATATTAAATTCACTGAGATCTGCATGAACAAGTCTGGCATCTTGGTACATTCTTCTCATGTACTGGATGATTTGCAGGTACAGCTCCCGGACTTTGGAGTCAGATAACTGAGCATTCTTCAGCAGAGGAGCAGGCCTTGAAATTACAACACAAATAACAAAGTGAGTACTTTTTCCTTCTTTACACCAGCTGTAAATGCTTTAACTGCTGAAACTGATCCTTCCACTCACTACGTGTGTCAAGAAAAGTCAGCATGAGCAGCTAAGTGCATGGAGCCAGTACGAAGGACAGCAAAGCTTGGTATACACTTGCCAAAGACACTGGAGCTCCATTTTCAATGTGAGCTTATTTGGACCATGCCACGTTAATTTTGTACTACAAAACGATGAGCTCTCTTCCTATATGATTGGCAAGCCTTTCCAGCCTCAATCTCTGGTTAAGCCACTTTACAGATTCATTTTGCACACAACTGAGGCGTCAGAATCATGCAGATTGTCTGCAATAGTAGCTGGCAAGTGTCTGGGTATTCTACAGGTCACAAGCACATGTAAAAGTAACATGTTAATTTTACAGGCCTACAGTAATAGTAGGTAAATTCAGAGGGTTGGGTTGGTTTTTTTTTTAATAAAGTGTTCTGGAAAGCTATTAATAAAAAAAAAGTATTTTCTAAGGATACTTACCTATCACCTTTACCAATAAAGCCCATGACAAGGACATGACTTCTTAGCATAATCGGCTCTGGGCAAGGTATCTGGGCTGTATTCAACCTGTAACACAGGAACAGAACAAAGCCACAAAAAAAAAATAAAACCAAACTCTACTATTTGCATTGCACTAGTGCCTATAGGAGCTCTGTTGCTTTAAACATAACACACAGTAAGAGCTCCTCTACTCAGGAAACTCTCTCTTGTGAAGAACAACTAGGAAATGAATACAAAGAGCCACAACCATTCTGGCTCTGACCCTTCTCTAAGTGTTCCTCTGTCAGACAAAGATCTGACAGTTTACACTGACTTTACACAGTTCAGGTTAATCCTAGGTTAACCTATATCGCACAGTGTGCTGTTACTCAGCAGCAGCTATTTCTAGCTTTTCCTCACTTTTCAGTCATGTCAGACAGTGTTCAGACATCGAAGAGCTTAGAGCATGAGCAGCAAGACAAAAAGAATATCTTTATTCCTCCCTCCCCTTTCTTTTCTCTCCCACAGAGAAACTTAGGACACTTTGCTGAATAGTCCAGAGACCCTAAAAGGTAGTGATATCCACAGTCTAGCAATAGGAGAGTACCTCCTATAAACTTCAAAGTTTCAGCTACCTTTGCATGCTGAAATAAAAACTGGAAGAATCACCTTATTAAATTCCTCATTTCTTTTTCAGCCCATGTCTTCACCATTTTTCTTGGGTTCCCTTTGCAATATCCATGACGAAATCTTTAAATAAAGAAACAGAAGATAACAGGGATGCTTAGCCAATCAATGCAGTATTAGCACTGGCGATTTTACCACCTTTCAAATAACACCTCTTCCCCAGTAAAACCAGGCAGAAGTCAAACTCACCTGAATTCACCGCTCACATACTTATCCCGATCTTTAAACATCAGAATAGAGGTTTTATAAATCTTTATTGCTCGGTTCTCTCCATTCGCTGTACTGGCATGATATACATTAGCCTATCAGATTATGAAGGGAAGAAATAATATTAAAAAAAAAACCCACCTCTTTAAACCAAAATAACCTTCTCTCCTGACACCTGATAAAAAGATCTGATCCCCACCCCGTGGCACCCAGCTGAGTGAGACTGCACACAAGGGCAATTTCTTTTTCTACCAAAGGCAGCTTATGGGAAGTACCTACAACTCGGTAGGGGTGTGACAACACATACAGGACAAAAACAACAATGCAAACTCCACCTCATCCACATTTTGGAGACTGAAACAAGCCCTTGTGTGAAGGGTTAATTTGAGTCTGTGCACTAGTTAGGCCCTAAAGCATGGCCCAAATATCTCACATTGACCCCTCTGCACAGGGTGGAAGCACGCCTTTAATCAGCATCCAAGGACTTGGAAGAAAACCAGACCAGCCTAGGGACTAGGCATTCTAAAACTGCTTTATGCATTTACTTGGAAATTTGTGATCTGGTTTTAATTATCTGAAATATTACTTGATAATAACAGCACACAAACATGTCAGTTTTGTAAAAGCAATGAAGGTTTAATAGTACTTTAAACAGAATTTTGTTACACCGTTTAGATACTCCCATGTCTGCTGACACATGGAGCTGGTCTGATCTACATACAAGAGAGTCAAACACAAGAAGAATTACCTGGGTTTGCATGTTTTCCAGGCACTGTTTAATATTATGTGTACACATACCCTCTCCAAAATTTCAGTTGTAACATACAATTAACAAGCTCCACAATTTTAAGCTAACATTTAAGTATTCTCAGAAATCTTTCACACTTGGGGAAACTTGTTTCCTTTAACTTAAATTGCATGTTATCTTAAGATAAATTCCTCCCAATCAAGCAACACCAAAAAAAAAGTAGTACTAAAACTAAGTACGTTCAATAAGTCTTCTGAGCACCACAAGCTTCCACTTAGCTTGCTGAGAAAAGGACTATCATGTCATTTGTAATAAAACTTACTTCCTTCCCTGTGCTGATGCAGCCATTGATTTCCGATATGACACCTCTAGTTAGCATCTTGAACAGAATCATTCGGGTCCTTGGATCCAACACCTCAAATTTAATACAAGAGAGTCAGCACAATTGCTCTCTTTAAGAGGACAAAATCTGCTAATACAGTCCATTCTTAGTAGCACATTAAAGGACCCACGGCATCAGACTATTCTTAAGGATCAAGAGATAGTTATCACAATTGAAATAGAGCAGCTATGTGACCTCGGGCCAGTAATGATTCAGTCCTGTTAAGGAAGAAAAAAGCAAACCCAGCATTTCTTTTTAGTGTTCCTTGGAATTTAATAAAAGCTTAAGATGGAATTCTGCATTGCATATACAATCAAATCACAATGCTGATCATCACAAAAATGAGCTCCAAAATGTTTATGGAAGCAATTACAACCTCCATACAGGAAAGAAACAACAGGTCTTTTCAGGGTAAGAAGGGAAACAGAATTCCAAGGCAAAATTCTGTTCCTACAACATCCATTTTAGCACCGATTCCAAAATTCCACATAATTTGTTCCAGTCAATAGAGAAATTCAATGCATTAAGGACTTACCTGTTCTACTGTTGCTCTGTCTGACTTATCTTTGACTCGGTACCTAGCAGAAGTGAAAATAAAATTATACAATCCCACACATGGACTCAGTGCTTTGACAGAGTAAAACATGACATTCTGTACCAAAGAGAATATGACAGCCTCAAGAAGTAAGGCTTTCAGTTCATACAAAAGCAAAGGTTTCTCCTGAATGTGTGTGTGGGGTGGTGGTGGTGTAGAGAACAAAAAAAAAAAAAAAAAAAAAAAAACACAACACAACCCCAAAAACATAAGCCCCTCCCCTT